GGTCCTACACCATCAAAAGTGAGCTTCGCCCTGCAGTACTGATTAGATTACTGCCAAACAAGCAGTAATGTTAAAATGTTAAATGCCAGGACTAAAAATAGGCTGCTGCATGTTTAAAATAACATGATCACTAGTTAGCTTGGGGCTTTGCTATTTTTACTAAAGGAAAGGCAGAGACAAGTTGCCTGAGACTGAAAGAGAATTACTTAAATGAGGAGACAGTTAAATGAGGTGAGAGCCTAGAAAGAAGCCAGAAGGTGGCACAATTGGTTCAACATCCATCAGGGAGTTTCTCTGCGAATTAAACTAAAAATTTTGGTCTGAACGAGTCAAAAAACTTCCCAGATACATTTTAGTGTTGATTTGTTACATACTTAAACCTAATTGTGACATTTCCTGATGTCAGAAACCATTATAACAGGTCAAAAAGATCAAATTAAGAGAAGTTTCTCTATTTTTAACTTTTTATAGAAGTATAGCAGAAAAGTACACAGAAAAGTACACATATGTGTACTGTGTACAGTTTTATGGGTTTTCAGAAATACACCAACATAACCAGCATCCAGATAATAAAACAGAATACTACCAGCACCCTAGAATTCCCTCTCATAACCCTTTCCAGGTAATACTCTGTCCCCCACAAGGACACTATGGTGATTTCCATCATAGTTTAGTTTTGCCTAGTTGTATACTAAATATAAGTAATATTAAAATGCACTCTTTTGTGTCTGGTTCCTTATGTGATTCATCAATATTGTTGCATGTGACTGTATACTGTTAATTCTCACTGCTATAAAGCACTTCAATGAATGAATATACCACAGTTTATTCATTCATTCTACTGCCGATGGGCTTTTGAACAGTTTCCAGTTTGGGGCTATTATCAAGAGTGCTGCTGTGAACATTCTAGACAAATCTTCTGATGAACACATGTACACATTATAGCTGGATATATTCCTGGGAGTGGAATTGGTGGGTTTCCAGGTTTCCAGGAAGTGGAATTACTGGGTCTTTTTCCACCTCCATGAAATGAGAGATATGCATCCTAAGGTAAAAGATAAGTTGCTGCATTTGAGCATCTGGCCCTTCCTACAACCAAAAAATCAGGCACAATATCTAGTGGCCTTTTTAGATTTTGGAGTCAACATATTCCTTATTTGAATGTACTACTCTAGCCCATTTACCAAGTGACCTAAAAAGCTGCTGATTTTGAGGGGGGTCTCAGAATAAAAGAAGGCTCTGCAATGGTTCCAGGCTACTATGCAAGATGCTCTGACACTTGTACCACATGATTCAGCAGATCCAATGGTGCTTAAAGTGTCAGTGGCAAATAGAGATGCTTTTTGGTATCTGTAGATGAATTACAGCACAAGCCCTTAGGATTCTGAAGCAAAGCCTTGCCATTCTCTGTGGATAATTACTCTCTCTTTTTGAGAAACAGCATTTGGTCTGTTATTGGGCCTTAGTAGAGACTGAATACGTAACCAAGTTATAATGGGAGCTGAGCTGCATATCATGAATTGTGTGTTGTCTGATGCACCGAGCCATAAAGTTGGCTGTGAAGAGCAGCACTCCATTATCAAATGGAAACAGTATATATCAGATTGGGCTAGAGCAGGCCCTGAAGGCAGAAGTTAAGTTAGATGAGGAAGTGGCCCAAATGCCCATGGCTCCACTCCTGCTACTTTACCTTCTCTTTCCCAGCCTGCATTTATGGCATCATGAGAAGTTTTCTACAATTAGCTGACTGAGGAAAAGAAAACTCAGGCTTGATTTACAGATGGTTCTGATTGATATGCAGGCACCACCTGATTATAGACAGTTATAACACCTATAGTTCCTTTCTGAGACATCTCTGAAAGAAATTTTGAAAGACACCCTTCTAGTGGGCAGAACTTTGAGCAGTACACATCATTGTTCATTTTGTTTGGAGGAGAAATGGCCAGATGTGCAATTATATACTAATTTATGGACTGTGGCTAATAGTTCAGCTGGTCAGGGACTTGGGAGTGACATGATTGGAAAATTGATTACGAGGAAATTTAAGGAAGAGATGTGGACATACCTCTCTGAATGGACAAAAAACATGAAGATATCTGTGTCGCATGTGAATGCTCGCCAAAGGGTGATCTCAGCAGAGGAGTTCACTAATCAAGTGGATAACTCTTTCTGTGGCAACCAGTTAGCCTCTTTCCCCAGCCACCTCTGCCATCGCCCAGTGAGCTGAGAAATAAAGTGGCCATGGTGGCAGGGATGTAGGTTATGCTGAGCTCAGCAACATGGAATACCATTACTAACTACAGCAACAGAGACCAACACCTCATCCCTGGAGTGATCAACCAGCTACCTGTGGCAGGCTGATTACATAGGACCACTTCCACCATGGAAGGGGCAGCATTTCATTCTTATTGGATTAGACACTTACTCTGGATATTAATTTGCCTTCTCTGCACTCAATGCTTCTGCCAAAACCACCATCCAAGGTCTTACAGTATGCCTTATCCACCATCATGGTATCCTGTACAGCATTGCTTCTAATCAAGGAAAGCACTTCACAGCAAAAGAAGTGTGGCAATAGGCCTATGCTAATGGAATTCACTGGTCTTGCCATGACCCCAACCATCCTGAAGCAGCTGGTTTAACAGAATGGTAGAATAGCCTTTTGAAGATTCAGTTACGGTTCCAGCTAGGTGGGAGCCCTTGGAGGGCTGGGGCAAGGTTCTCCAGAAGGCTGTATATGCTCTGAATCAGCATCCAATACATGGTACTGTTTCTCCCACAGCCAGGATACACAGGTCCAAAAATTGGAAATGGGAGTGGAACCACTCAATATTACCCCTGGTGACCTACTAGCAAAACTTTTGTTTCATGTTTCCATGATTTTATGCTCTGCTGCTTTAGAGGTCTTAGTTCCAAAGGGAAGAATGCTTTCACCAGGGGATACAACAAATGATTCCATTGGATTGGAAGTTAAGACTGACAACTGGCCACTTTGAGCTCCTCGTATCTCTGAGTCAACAAGCAAAGAAGGGAGTTACTGTACTGGTTAGGGTGATTGATCCTGATGACCAAGGGGATGTTAAACTACCACTCCACAATGGAGGGAAGAAAGAGTATTATGGGATACAGGAGATCCCTTAAAGCATTCACAGTACTACCATGCCCTGTGATTAAAGTCAATGGAAAACTACGACAATCCAATCTAAGCAGAACCAGTAATGTTCCAGACACCTCAGAAATGAGGGTTTGTGTTACCTCACCAGTTAAAGAACCATGATCAGCTGAGGTGTTTGCTGAGGGCAGGGGGAATATGAAATGGGTAGTGGAGAAAGGTAGTTATAAATATCAGTTATGACCAACATGACTAGTTAAGCAAATATCTGTTTTCCTCCTTCCCTTATGACCATATCACCCAACATAAGATGTATTAATAACAGTTAACTTTAGATCACAGTACTTGAGTTAGAGGATATTAAAGAGAAAAGCAACATCACCCAAAGACTTTGTAACCTCTCCTGTGGAAGGAATTAGCACGTTTTCAGTTGTATGTAGGACAGTTGTACTACGTTAGACAGAAGTATGACTTTGTTACTGTCTTTATTTGGAGATTAAATATGGTTTAAAGAGATGTGTATGAATGCATAGTTGACATAGAGCGGGCTATGATGGTTAGTTCTATGGCTAGGCTGTATTACTCAAGTATCTTAAATAGTAATCTTGGTGTTGCTGTGAAAATATTTTGTGGATGTGGTTAACACCTATAATAATTGACTTTAAGAGAGTATCTTGGATAATGTGGGTAGGCCTCATCCAATCAGCTGAAAAGCCTTAAGAGAAAACCTGAGGTTTCTCTGAAGAGGAAGAAATTCCTCCTGAGGATCGCATCATCAACATCATCTGACCAATAGCTTTGCACCTGCTCTACTGTTTTCAGCAAAACCCTACAATTGCATAATTCAATTTTCTGAAGTGTGTATATACATCCTACTAGTTCTGTTTCTTTAATAGAACCCTAACTAATACAGCATCTATTATTCCCTACCACTATGCTAATGTTATCAGAGATAGAGATAGGAAGAAGTCTATTATGTGGTCTCTGTCCTTGAAAACTTCATAATCTAAAGAATATAAGAAATCAGTGTTGTAAATTATGTCAGGTAAAGTATATTATTAAGTGTCAAATGAGTAGCATTGAATTAAATGTAAGAGGAGCTTAGAAAAAAGAAAAAAATCTCTGTGGACTTAGGGAATACTCAGGGCAGGCTCTGTGAAAGAAATGGGTACAAGAATCAAGAGTAGACAGCTTAGTTGGATTGAAGTTATATGTAATCTATTAAATTTCAATTGCTTCATTGCCTGCTTACATATAAAAGATTCCCAAGACCCATGAAGTAATAAGTATTCTGCCTGATATGCAGTGAGGGACGTACAGAAAAACCTAAACTTGGAGTCTAGAAGCCTTGAAAGATTGAACACCTCTCTACCACTTGGTTACAATATGATCTTGGACAAATTGTATATTAATTTAAGCATCGGAGTCTAAAGTAGTATAATATATAAATGAGGATAATAACATACATCCTACTTATCATTAAAATCATAGTGAAAAATAAATGAGACATAAGAAGGTGCTTAGCTCAGTGCCTTTCACAGAGGAAGTACTCAACCAATGTTAAGTGAATGCAAAAATATCTCCATATCTTTAAAAAGAATGCTACTAAAAATAAAACTCAACAACACTAAATTTCAAATAATTATTAAGAGGAAGTATCCTAAATACATTTAAACCAATAACATTAGCTAATTTTTTAAAAGATGAAGTAATTAACTTCCAAAAAATTATTTTAATCAGGTTATAAAATCTGACTGAACTTTTTATACTTTTACTATTTCCACTTTGTGCAAGAACTCTCAGAATACAATATACAACTGAATTTCTTGTGTACATAAGGAATTTGCAATAAAAATGTCTTATATCTTTCAAAAAGTAGGCTCTGCACTCATACCACAACAGTACCTTGAGGAATATCTTTAGGAAGAGAATATTTCTTCTTCTTTACAATAACCCCTTTACTTTTCACTTGTCTAGTTCCTGGTGATGCTCTAATAATATAACATATTTCTGATGTATTTAAAGAAACCTGAAAAAAAAGAAAAGGCAGATACTGTATAATTCTTCTAGGTACTATGTTTATGTGTTGTCTTATTTCAAAGTCTTAATATCCATATTTTATAAATATTAATAATAGAAAGCATTTATGAAATGTTTACTCCACCCCAAACACTAATTGGTTTTAAAACATTTGCTTATGTTTTAACCAAGCAAGGCAGATTATTCCCATTTGTAAAATGAGGAAACTTAGGTCTAGAGAGGTTGGCTAATTTAAAGACAAAGTAATGACAGATTTCCAGATCTACTCTCCTACTTCTAGTAACTATTCTTCCCTAATTCAAGCAAAAGACTGAAGGATTTTTCTAGGAAAAGGGTATAACAGATGGTTTCCTCTCTGAGGGATTTCCAGCAGTTGAAAGGAGAAGTGCTCTGCTAAAAATAAGTTGCTGAGACCCCCAGTCCAAAAAGGCCGACACTCTCCAGGAAAGAGATTGAAAGATCCTGCTCTCAGCAGTCCAAAAGGAAAGTTCTCATATTGCTGATATAAGTAAAAGACTCTCTCCCCACCTCTTTTCTCCACCTCTCTCTCCTTCCCTCTCCTTCCCCTCTCTCCTGAATGACTCCAAAATTCTAGAAAATGTACACATAACTAGATAATGACAATAACTAGATCAGTAGTTGCTTGGGCAAGGAGGGTGGGGATAGGAAGGAAGAAATCATAAAACATTAGCAAGGCTCTTTTGGTGGTGAGTATTTTCATTATTTTGATTATGGTGGTAATTTCACAGGCATATGCATATGTAAAAACTATCGAATTGCACATTTTAAATATGTGCCATTTATTACATGTCAACTATATCCCAATAAAGATTCCTTTCAAAAAATTAAGTTTCCAGTTTCAACTGGGCTCTCAACAATGTGCTAATAATCTTGTGTTTCCTTAGTTCTTCCATTCCCTCAAACTCCTGTTTCAAACTATTTTTACTTTCCTTAAGTCTCTTATCCAACACCCCCCACTCCCCATGTTTTTTCCCTTTCCCTCTCCTCTTCTCCCTACCTCTTCCTCTCTTTCTCTCTGGAGATCAGCCCTCTAATTCTAGTCTCAGCCTTTTACAATCTGTTCTCCACCTCTGGAGCCAGAATAAACTTTATACAAGAATATCTGATATCATCTCCTCTTCAGAATCCTTTATAGGCTTCCCTCAGAAAAAAAAAATATCCCAATTCTTTAATATAAATTACATTTTTGGCCCCTGTTTATCTTTATAATCTCATCTCTAGCTGTCTCATCCCCACCTGGATTCCTATCCACACTCCTGGGTGACACTGAAAAGCTCTAGCTATACTGAACCACCCACTATACATCCCTAAAGTTCTACCTCTTTGTTTCTTTTTCTCTCTGCCTCTTTCCTGTCTTACGGTCTTTCTCTCTGTATCTTTGGCCTCACTGCCCTTCTCTCTGGCCCTTTCTCTCTCTCCCTCTCTCTTTCCGTTCTCTGTTTTTCTGTTCATTTATTCTCTCTACTCCCACCACCCCATGGCTCTTTATGTCTTCTTTATTAATGGAGCATAGTACTTCCATTATAACACAATGGGGTTGGTGACCACAATTTATAGATACAGACAAAAACTGAATTTTGGATCGAAATAGGATGATACTGTTTCCTCTCGTTTAATACCCTCAAGTCCTGATGATGCAAAAGATTTGGGCCTAAAAGCCTTTATTAGGAATCATAACTGATAGCTGAATCCACATGTAAATATTAGCCTTAACAGATTTTTTAAAGTACCTCATATACAAAGTATCTAATATAACAGTAATCATTTCTTTTCATAATTGAAGGAAAAATTGAAAATAATACCTCATTTGAAGAATTTTCTTGCAAACTTGACACAGGAACAATTTCATCTGAATTAACATAGCTGCTAACATTTGGAAATAGTTCCTCAAAAGACGCTTTTTGAACTGAGGACAGATTAATCTATAAAAGAATATATTACTCTTTTGTAGAAGTTCAATATTGCAAAAACAATTATTTTTAAGTAATTAAAGGAAAGTTGAAATATCTTATTAGAAGCATTTTCTTCTGATCTTGACATATGAACAATTTTTTCTGAATTAATATAATTACCAACATTTGAAAATGTTCCTTTAAAAGGTGTATGTTTAACTAGGGACAAATCAGTCTATAAAGAAGATTATAAGACTCTTTAGCTTTAAAGTTATTATTTAATATTTCAAAGTTATTATTTAATATTTCAAATAACTATTTTCACTAGCTACATCATCATGCAATTTTTTTCCTATTTATTCATCCAATTAATATTTATCAAGTGCCTACTAAATGAAATTCATCTACCAAGAAATCACACCTCCTGGAATAATTTTCCCTGCTCTTCTCTTAAATGTCAGCCTTCCCCAGTGCTCTGTCCTTGCCTTCAACTTGCCTACCAATTGAACACCAGAGATTTAAAAACCTCTTTCTCTAACAGAACTCTTTCCACTGTATATCCATATCACTATCAGGTTACTGAAATTACCACATATTTCTACATGAAATTCAAAGTAGTTAAAATCAGATGCATGATCCATACTCTTTAGTCTGGGACTCCAAGCAGCTTTGTCATGTTGACCAGCAACTAGGTCTGACTAGAGCAATCTGACCTGAAGTTAGGCTAGGTCAGCATAGATCCCAGCTGCACTTCATGGGGAGTGGGGTGTGCAGGGGTTCAAAATAAGTCTCCCCAAAATGTGTCACTCTGGTATGTGGACTGTTTTGAGCTGAAGGCAATCAAGACCCAGCAGATTCAAGAAAAACTTTTAACTCTTCCTTAATCTCCTAAAAGAATCTAGATACAGGGAGCATTTGAGATCTTGCTCCCTGGCATATATCAGTTTGGCTCAAATAAACTCGTAAAAATTCTCTCTAAGTTTGGATGTTTCTTACGTCGACATTTACTTGGCACAGTTCAGCATGCAGGATTCCAAAGAAGCTCATCCAGGACTACCTTGTGAACCTGGACCAGGTGCTAGGTACAAGCAAGAGCCCATTGTGCCCCACTGGCTCCCCGCCTTGCACTGAATAAACTTGTGTGAGCCTTCTCTTGGAATTCTGGGCCTCCTCACTGTAAGTAGCAGGCCATGACTTTATCTGAGCTGTTCTTAGAAAGTCCTTGAGGTGGATAAGGGTTGAAATAACCCAGGGAAAGGGGAAAAAAGGCTTTGGCTTTTTGTGGCATGCTTACTAGGAGTCTGAAAAAATATTTGCTAGGTAAATGAGAGACTACACTCTCTTTAGTTCCAAAAGAGAAAGGACACTTGCTTCTCCAACTCAAACGGCCAGTGGGGTGGTGATAGTTGTTCAGATCCCCAAATCTGGAGTGCTGGAGATGGGCTCCAGGTAAATGCACTATATATAAGTAAATACTATAAAAGGCATCATACTTTGGATTTCTCTGACTCTTATAATTAGGCATGTCCCTTGTAGGGGCCCTGGAAGCTATGTCTGTGTATTATTACAGAAGATGCTAGATTTCATCTCTTTGTACCTGAGCTGTCCCCAGACTGCTTTGTAAGCTGCTGCATGGACTTCTGGGAGTACTGCTCCCACTGAAAAGGAACACCTGATTCTGCCCTGCTTGCAAACTGTATTCCTGTTGCTCAAGTTGAACCTAAGAAGCCAGGTTGGGTAAGAGCTAAATTATAAAACTTTTAGAAGAAAAGAGAGGGGAAAAAGCTTCATAACATTTGATTTTGCAGATACCATACCAAAAGCACAGATAACAAAAGAAAAATTAGATAAATGGAACTACAAAAAAATTAAAAACTTCTGTAAATCAAAGGACATAATCAACAGAATGAAAAGGTAACCCACAGAATGGGAGAAAATATTTGCAAATCATGCGTCTGATAAGGTGTTAATATCCAGAATATATAAAGAACTCCTATGACTCAACAACAACAAAATAAACAATCTGATATTTTAAATGGGCAAAGAACCTGAATAGACATTCTCAAAAGAAGACAAACAAATGGCCAATAAGCATGTGAAAAGATGCTCAACATCATTAGTTATTAGGGAAATACAAATCAAAACCATGATGAGATACCATCTCACACCTATGAGGATGGCTATTATTTTAGAAACACAGACAATAACAAGTTTTGGTGAGGACGTAGAGAAATTGGAACCCTGTGCATTGTTGGTGGGAGTGGAAAAGAGTGCAGGCATTATGGAAAACAGAACAGCGGTTCCTCAAAAAGTTAAAATAAGAATGACATATGATCCAGTAATTTCACTTTGAAGTATATATACAAAGGAATTGAAAGCAGGGGCATGAAGAGATATCTGTACAATCATGTTCACTACAGCATTATTTACAATAGCCAAAATATGGAAGCAATCCAAATGTCCACAGACAGATGAACGGAGAAACAAAATGTGGCATATGCATACAAAGGAGTATTATTCAGCCTTTTAAAAGGAAAGAAATTCTGATACATGCTAAGACATGGATGAAACTTGAAGACATTATGTTTAGTGAAATGAGCCAGACACAAAAGGACAAATACTATATGTTTCCATTTATATGAAGTACCTACAGCAGTCAATTTCCTAGAGACAAAAAGTAGAATGGTAGTTGCCAGGGCCTGGGGAAGGGGGGAATGGGGAGTTATTATTTAATATATATGGAGTTTTAGCATTTCAATATGAAAACAGTTCTGGATATGAATGGTGGTAACGGTTACATAACAGTGTGAATGTACATGAACTATACACTTAATGGTTTAAATGGTCAATTTTATGTTACATATATTTTGCCACAATAAAAAAAGAAAGAAAGAAAGAGAAGAACCCTGGTTGGTGTTGCAATATTCTCATCTTTTCTCCTTTCTTTTATGCATAGCAGTATATATAGTACTTTCAGGGGAAGTGTGTTCATGCAACAGAAAAATACAGATATTATCCTCTATGGGCAATATTTCCCTGGTGTGACAGAAACAGAATAATGAGGAGAAAGTGGAGCCAGAAAATAGATACTACAAGTGCAGGTACTTACCTCTAAACCAGCTGTTTGCGAAGATGGTGTACTTGTTAACGGGCCTCTGCTTTTCTTATCATGATTATTGGAATTTGTGTTCTATCATTGTTTTGTAAAATAGGGGATTGAATAGCAGAAAGAAATAAATTACTTTAATACTATAAAAACACAATTTAAAATTAGTAGACTAAATCATAATGTGTCATATTAACAAAATTTTAATCTGCTAATTAAATTTTAAACCACTAGACAGGTAACTAAAGAATTTTCTGGCTTGAGCTAGGTCAAAAAACTCCCAAAGGAACTTTGTGTGGCATAACAACTATATGAGAATACTTTGGTTGAAATCACTATTAATTTAGGAAGAAAAGTAAATTAAAGTTTTGAATTAGGAAATGGTGCTTTGATTATCCTAAGAAAGGTATTTTACTTACAGCATTTGCTTAATTCCTAGTATATACTCTACTTTTTATGGAAAGGAATTATAAATTATTTCTGAAGCTGTCAAAACACATATGCAGAAAAGATAATTGGCTTAAAATACATACATTTAAATGTATATAATACTTTCATTAATGGAGCATCAAAGTTAAAGAAGTTACAAAGTAGGATACAGACTCATTTTCTCTTTCTTGAAGATGTAAAGGAGCAGACAGAGGCAAGTGGACAAATCAAGAGTGAGAGACAGAGAAGAAAAAGAGACAGGATCAGAGAGCTAAGGCGTTTGAAAGAAAAAGAGAGGCAGAGAGAGAGATAAGGGAAGGGAGAGAAAAGAAGAAAAGAGGAGGGAGGGGGAAAGGAGAGAGAGGGAGGATGAGGAGACAAAAGATAGAGAGGCAGAAAAAAGGAAGATTGAAAGGAGAGAGGGAGGGAGAAGAGAGATGGAGAGGACAGAGATCAACAGAGACTGGGAGCAGAAAGACAGATTGACAGTCAGAGAAACAGAATCAGAGACAGGATAGATAGAGATCAAGACAGAGACAGGGACAAGAGAGAGACAGAGCTTGAGACCAGGGAAAGCAGTGACAAAGAAACAGGTAGAGAGGCAGAACAGAAAGAAACAGTGATAGAGTCAAAGAGAGAAGACAGGCTGCTTTATTTCTTGCATTCGGCTGCCTTTTCAACTCTTGGATTCCAGGAAACAACCATGCCTCTCTGATAAGTCTCTTTGAACTGGTGTGTCTAGCACATGCTACCAAGTTTGGAACTCGAACTCAGAGTTAAAACTTGAACAGCACTGGAAAAGTTAGCTTTTTTCTTTCTTTCTTTCCATTTTCTTCCTTTCACTCTTTTCTTTCTAGCTTAAAATCTCTTAAACTGGTTGTTTGTTCAAAACATAATCTAGAACAGTTTATTAGGAAAATTTTTATCAAAAAACTTTATGGGCATATTTATGTGGTACACTGAATATGTCAGCTTTCTAATTTATTTGCTATATTATCTTTTAATGTCTTCATCTGAACAAGGGGATTATTCTACCCCTAGGGACTACTGTGCAAAGGTTACAAATAATAGATGTAAAGAGAACCTGTGGTGCCTGGAGAGTAGGAGATACTCATTGATAGTTATTATTATTATCATCATTGTGGTAGCCATGGAAGTGCTCTGCTCAGATCCTGAACAAAGATCCTGCTGTTCCAACTGTAAGGAGTATAGTTAGCTGATAGCCCCTAACTGCAACATCGGTAGAATCTGCTTTGGCTTTTAGGCTGCAGCCCTCATCTTCTCCAGCAACCCTCAGCCAATGTCTGAGCACAGGAGCCCAACAAAGATTCCTGTAATGGACAATCTCTGACCCCGTCTTCCCCACTGGGAGAGCTTTTGTCAGATATGCACTGAGGACTTGAGGCTATTTCTGCCTCACCCTGCTTCCTCCCTGATTTCCTGTCTCAGGTGTTATACCCTCCACTACACCACCTGAATTAATTGTCTAAATATCTGTGTCCCAAGTGACACAATTACCAACTGTCAGTCCATTTACAAAACATCTGCCTGTATATAGCTGTAAATATATATCATCTCTGCTTTTTCCCTTAAGTTTATTAAGAAATTGTGCATATCTAAATATTCGCAATAACTACATTTCCTTTTTATAGTCTTTTAAAAGAATTAGTAAAAGGCCAGTGCTTACCAATGCAGGTTGTGGGGGCGGAGGCAGCAGAACTTTGGTAACGGCTTTACCTGCAATGCTTTTAAGAATAGACCTCTGGTGAGATGATGGAACCTTGATTTTTACATGACGAGAGCTTAACTTTGTTTGAAAATTTGTATCTCTAGTTTCAGAATTTTTTTCAGGCTGAAATAAATTCATAAATACATCTCACAGTCTATAAAATCATTTGTAGAACTTCTCAGATGTCCTATTTTTATTGTAATGTTATAATTGTTACAATTAAAATAGGATATATATATATTATTCTATCCATCTTCTCAACTTGGAAAAAAGTTTTAAACTTAATCTTTTTCTTAAAAAATTGAGGTTTTCCACATATTTAAGGGAAAAAAA